TTTCTTTCTCTTTCACATTTGTGTGTCTGCTGTAATTTCATTTTCATTGTTACCTTGGGGCTAACAGAGTCTTGTGGTTATAATAAACTACTTTAAGCTGGTAGTAACCTAACTGCAGTCACATAAAAATACTCTAGACCTCCCCCCACCATATACAAATTATATTTTTGTTGTCCTAATTTGTTTGTATCTATTGTATATTCCTTAGCCACTAATTGTAACTGTTATTGTTTTTTGACCATTTTGACTTTAAACCCTCATATTAGAGGACTGAAGGATTTACACAGCACTATTACCTGACTAGGGTGTTCTGAGTTTGAATTATGAATTTACCTCTACAGGTGAGTTTTGTACTTTTTCATGTTTTCATGATAGTAATTATCATCTTTTCATTTCCAGTTGTAGCACTCCTTTAAGCATTTCTTGAAAGACTGGTTTAGAAGTAATGAATTCCCTCAGCTTTTGCTTGTCTCAGAAGGTCTTTATTTCTCCCTTATTTCTGAAGGATAGCTTTGCTGGATAAAGTATTCTCTTGTCTGATAGTTTTTTTTTTTTTCTTTTCAGGACTTTGAATATGCCATCCCATTTTCTCCTGGCCTACAAGGTTTCTGTTGAAAAATCTGCTGATAGTCTAACAGGGATTCCCTTATATGTGACTTGATGCTTTTCTCTTACAGCTTTTAATATTCTCTTTGTCTTTGACTTTTGACAGTTTGATTATGATGTGTCTTGGAGAGGATCTTTCTGGGTTGGGTTTAACAAGGTAAAGTAAATTCTTAATTTAGCACTTTTTCTCTCTTGTTTGGACCTTAAGAATAAAATGCAATTACAGATCTTTTGTAGCTCTTTTCCTAAAGAACAGGAAGAGCTCTAATTCTGCCAGAGAGAATTTTTAAAAGTCTGTTATGGTTTATGTTTTTATTTTATGTATGCCATATAACTGTTCAGCATAAATAATACAAAATACACATTACTGTATATCACTGATATATGCAAAAGTGTTCAAGGTTAAACTAAACAAAAAATAACCTACAAATGGACTTTGCCTCATTTATTCCTGCTTGAAACTTGCAAAGGAATTAAGAGACCTAAACCTAATAGTTAATGTACATGCTTAGTTGAAAGAAGGAAGAAAGTTACAAATGTGGTTGCCTTCTCTTGAGGAAACACTGAGATCTGGGAATGATGACAATATGTATCTTGAACCTGGGGGCTTAGAGATACTCAGGATCAAACCAAACAGCTCTGTGTAGTTTAGTTCACTGATATACTGTATTTATTTATTTACCAGAATTGACAAGCAAGAGCAATTATTCTCCAGCTTCCAAGTGTTGGAGTTATCCCTTAGGGTTGATATATCACAATATTTTGCCAAAGATGTCATAAAGATTCCATCACTATGGTAATGAAAACTCATCTCACTGACATCTACTACCTAAATCTTACACATGCAACAGATCATCCTTCAGGATCTACTTTCATATCTGGATTGAGTAAACCTACTGAAAACCATTAATCCTTTTCCAAAAAACTAGGTTTCTATAAAACACATCTAAGAATTATCCTTATCTTTAATAGCTTTCAAAAAATTCAATCTTGGTGCTGGCCCGGTGGCGCACTGCTACAGTGCGCCGCTTGGGAAGCGCAGCGGCGCTCCCGCTGAGGGTTCGGATCCCACATACAGACCGGCCGCTCACTGGCTGAGCAAGGCGCGGGAGCAACACCGAGGGTTGCGATCCCGTAGCTGGTCCCGGTCCGGTACGGGTGTGACACTGAGGGTTGCGATCCGTTGCCGGTCACGGAAAAAAGACAAAAAGGAAAAAAAAAAAAAGATTCAACATTCAGAATAAATGGGTAGGTAGCGAAGAGAAATGAACACAAAAAAAAAATTCAATCTCTATCCAAGTGCAAATGAAAAAAAAAAAAACAATTAAAAAAAAATCAGATTCTTTGAAAAACAATACATTATCTTTTGAACTTTACTATTATTATTAATGGTCATATTGATTGTGTTTTCTACTGATTTATTCCTATTAAGCAGTAAAAACAAGCAAGACAACAAGTCTAGTTGGAACACATTTTATTGTTGACTGACTGAAATTAATTGGTGCTTAAGGTGCTGAAATACTGAGGTGCTAGTCAGGAACCTTGTTAGTATGTGTCAGACCCTACTGGCTAATTCACATGAAGATTTCATTTTACCTTTTGCCATTTTTCCCAAGTCATTGATGATAGCTTTAGTTGATAGGTACTAGGCATATGAGTATAGCAGGAGATCCAGCTCCTTGGTCTGCTGTATTCATATATAAAAAAAGTTTGGAAAGCTGATTAAAGTATTTCATTAATTAAGCCTTAAATTAATATCTATCCACCAAAACCATATCTATGCCAAGGTTCCTGCTTGACACACGTTCCTCAAAAGATATTATTTCTTTCAACATATATAAGGCTAAGAAAGGCATATTTAAGGGAAGGAATATCATCTATACCATATATCAGCTCTTCAATATGACAGAGAAAAGGCAAAGTTCCTTCATTTGGAAATTGGGTATCCTCTTCACATACTCTGCCAAAATATAGTCTGGCCAAAAGATGTAGGTGTCTTGATAATTTGTTCATTGTTTAACCTTGCTAATAAAGATGAATAAATGCCCATCAAATGGACATCGACTAGTCTAATCAGACTAGACAGGTCACTTTTCAGAACCTACTTTCATACCTAAACTGAGTCACTGAAGACAAATACAGAGCTCACTCTTTTCCAAAAGAACTAGATCTCTGTAATACTTCCAGGGTTTGACATCACTGGAAAGGCACAATGCAATATAAGAAATGAACCATTACACCCACAATAGCTAGCACAGTATCTAAACTGAGTCACTGAAGACAAATACAGAGCTCACTCTTTTCCAAAAGAACTAGATCTCTGTAATACTTCCAGGGTTTGACATTACTGGAAAGGCACAATGCAATATAAGAAATGAACCATTACACCCACAATAGCTAGCACAGTACTTATGTCTCATCACTAAGTGCCTTTTCTTTTTAATTAGTTTCATATTCCTAGGCTTTCCTTTTGTTTCTGCTGTGCTCATTAGGCAAATTGAGGCAGAACCAATGAGAAAGTTCTAGTCAATTTAAAAGACTTTAAATCAGAAAGTTTCTTGCTCTCATTGGATGAGCAAGTAAGGAATCAACCACAGAAACTGGACATCCAAGATATCCTCCTCTTCTGAAAAACAGTCCCACCACCTTACTATTCAAATTTAGAATCCTATAGAAGGGATAAGAAAAAAATGCTATAGTCTATCCCACTATCAAAAATTCTCTCAGAGGCTTAAACCAGATATAAACTATTTAAAAATATCAGAGGCATAGCTTCTGCTAAATGACTACTAATCAGTTTTTCCCAAAATTTGCACACAATACCTTATATAGATGAATGTGAAATTTTACTGAATGTGAAAATCTAAAATAAGAAAACACTGTTAAATCTCTTAATGTTTTTGTTCACACATTGTACATTTCTCCTTCAAAATAAAAATATTACACACGCATCCTTTATCCTTCTGTCCTGCAATATTAATAAAAATATAAAGCCTTAAAACCTTTAAGTCTACCAGCATTTATAAATACAATCATATTAAACAAGTTAAATACTTTTCTTTAGAAGACATTTAAGTAAGTGATATATTAACAAAACTTTCTTACCATTTATGATAACGTACTGTTAAAATTAAAGAAAGGTAGGAAAATAGAAGAATGCTCCCATTAATATAAAAGAATCAGGGGCTGTTAGGGTAATGGATATTCCAAGTCCAGATGCCTTGTTCTTGAAACAAAATGCTGAGTTAGGAAGTCAGAGAATTTCCTGGTTAGTCACTTAGAAAATTAGCTCTTTCCCAGAGTTTTTTCCCTGGAATTCCTGACCCATTTAGACCTGTGATCTTGGTGACCTCACATGTCTTTGTTTCTCACACAATCTTCTCTAAAAGGATCACACTGTGACTTGAAACAGACAGACTGAACTCCCCACTGGAGTTATGCTACTGCGGTTTGAGAGTGGCAAGACAATGCACCAGCACACACGCAGGGCTGTTCTCCAGTACCACAGAGGCGGCAGTTTTTAGATGCTTCTCAACTGTAATGGAAGGCCAGGACTTTTCATTCGAAGGGATCTGGGCAGCAAAAAAACATAGCTGCTAGATGTTTAATAGTTTGTCAAGGTAAATAATCTGAACTGAACATCTGTAGTAAATACCAAATTCCTAATTCTCAATTACCAAAATTCTCAGTTAACAAACAAAAAAATACTTTTTTTTCCTTAACAGAACTGAAAAAATCCCAACAGTGTGTCATGTGCAAGACTAGTCTGCCTCCATCTACAGCTAGTGCACAATGTCACATTAGTTATCCATTCCTCACTCTTTTAATTCTTCTTCCTTTGGAAAATGCTCCTGCTTGCAGGCTACGTCCACCAGCAGATGAAGATCTAGAAAGAAAGGAATGTTTACTCACTCTTAGCCTCTCAGACTGTAGAGTTCTGTAGACAAATCTTCAGACAAGAAACATAAGCTGCCTATGTCTCACCTATTGAATTGACTCTAAAATTATATTGTCCCATCGGATTCTCAATTTGAGGGCATTCCTATAACTCTTAAAGTATACGAGTGCAGCTCAGTTGTTAACCCAAAGACGCCAACAAAGTTTAAAGTTTCTCTCCCTTTCAGTGGTGTGGCTAATTGCTCATTTCAATTGCCTTTATTTTATTTATTTATTTATTTATTTATTGTCTTTTTCGTGACCGGTAAGGGGATTGCAACCCACCGGCCCGAACGCGCGGCGGGAGCGTCGTTGTGCTCCCAGCGCCGCACTCTCCCGAGGGCGCCACGGGGCCCGGCCCCAATTGCCTGTATTTTTAAAGTGAAAAAGTAATAAAAAGTATCAAAGGGATCAAAGTGAAATATTCACACANAAATGGACATCGACTAGTCTAATCAGACTAGACAGGTCACTTTTCAGAACCTACTTTCATACCTAAACTGAGTCACTGAAGACAAATACAGAGCTCACTCTTTTCCAAAAGAACTAGATCTCTGTAATACTTCCAGGGTTTGACATCACTGGAAAGGCACAATGCAATATAAGAAATGAACCATTACACCCACAATAGCTAGCACAGTACTTATGTCTCATCACTAAGTGCCTTTTCTTTTTAATTAGTTTCATATTCCTAGGCTTTCCTTTTGTTTCTGCTGTGCTCATTAGGCAAATTGAGGCAGAACCAATGAGAAAGTTCTAGTCAATTTAAAAGACTTTAAATCAGAAAGTTTCTTGCTCTCATTGGATGAGCAAGTAAGGAATCAACCACAGAAACTGGACATCCAAGATATCCTCCTCTTCTGAAAAACAGTCCCACCACCTTACTATTCAAATTTAGAATCCTATAGAAGGGATAAGAAAAAAATGCTATAGTCTATCCCACTATCAAAAATTCTCTCAGAGGCTTAAACCAGATATAAACTATTTAAAAATATCAGAGGCATAGCTTCTGCTAAATGACTACTAATCAGTTTTTCCCAAAATTTGCACACAATACCTTATATAGATGAATGTGAAATTTTACTGAATGTGAAAATCTAAAATAAGAAAACACTGTTAAATCTCTTAATGTTTTTGTTCACACATTGTACATTTCTCCTTCAAAATAAAAATATTACACACGCATCCTTTATCCTTCTGTCCTGCAATATTAATAAAAATATAAAGCCTTAAAACCTTTAAGTCTACCAGCATTTATAAATACAATCATATTAAACAAGTTAAATACTTTTCTTTAGAAGACATTTAAGTAAGTGATATATTAACAAAACTTTCTTACCATTTATGATAACGTACTGTTAAAATTAAAGAAAGGTAGGAAAATAGAAGAATGCTCCCATTAATATAAAAGAATCAGGGGCTGTTAGGGTAATGGATATTCCAAGTCCAGATGCCTTGTTCTTGAAACAAAATGCTGAGTTAGGAAGTCAGAGAATTTCCTGGTTAGTCACTTAGAAAATTAGCTCTTTCCCAGAGTTTTTTCCCTGGAATTCCTGACCCATTTAGACCTGTGATCTTGGTGACCTCACATGTCTTTGTTTCTCACACAATCTTCTCTAAAAGGATCACACTGTGACTTGAAACAGACAGACTGAACTCCCCACTGGAGTTATGCTACTGCGGTTTGAGAGTGGCAAGACAATGCACCAGCACACACGCAGGGCTGTTCTCCAGTACCACAGAGGCGGCAGTTTTTAGATGCTTCTCAACTGTAATGGAAGGCCAGGACTTTTCATTCGAAGGGATCTGGGCAGCAAAAAAACATAGCTGCTAGATGTTTAATAGTTTGTCAAGGTAAATAATCTGAACTGAACATCTGTAGTAAATACCAAATTCCTAATTCTCAATTACCAAAATTCTCAGTTAACAAACAAAAAAATACTTTTTTTTCCTTAACAGAACTGAAAAAATCCCAACAGTGTGTCATGTGCAAGACTAGTCTGCCTCCATCTACAGCTAGTGCACAATGTCACATTAGTTATCCATTCCTCACTCTTTTAATTCTTCTTCCTTTGGAAAATGCTCCTGCTTGCAGGCTACGTCCACCAGCAGATGAAGATCTAGAAAGAAAGGAATGTTTACTCACTCTTAGCCTCTCAGACTGTAGAGTTCTGTAGACAAATCTTCAGACAAGAAACATAAGCTGCCTATGTCTCACCTATTGAATTGACTCTAAAATTATATTGTCCCATCGGATTCTCAATTTGAGGGCATTCCTATAACTCTTAAAGTATACGAGTGCAGCTCAGTTGTTAACCCAAAGACGCCAACAAAGTTTAAAGTTTCTCTCCCTTTCAGTGGTGTGGCTAATTGCTCATTTCAATTGCCTTTATTTTATTTATTTATTTATTTATTTATTGTCTTTTTCGTGACCGGTAAGGGGATTGCAACCCACCGGCCCGAACGCGCGGCGGGAGCGTCGTTGTGCTCCCAGCGCCGCACTCTCCCGAGGGCGCCACGGGGCCCGGCCCCAATTGCCTGTATTTTTAAAGTGAAAAAGTAATAAAAAGTATCAAAGGGATCAAAGTGAAATATTCACACAAAAGTGAAAATTCATTTTCTCATGCTATAAGGATAGGTGAGTGGGCTGTGGCAATACGAAAAGGTAATTAATGCCTTCAGAAAAGCAATGTTTAAATAAGTAACCATTACTTTCCCAAAGTTGATCGCCTCCATACAATTCCCAGTTATCAACTAACACTGCTGAACTCTTGTGAAAACACCCAGCTGAACTGTCTGTAAAAAAGAAAGCATACCCTCGCAGAGATCAAGAAACAGAGTGGTTCACTGAGAATGGAAAGAAGTAAAAATGTGAGCTAGGTACTAGATTCTTAACACACAAGAGCCGAGACTGTGTGTAGAAGTGGAGGTACAAGGCCTATCGGAGGAACACAAGCAGCAATAAAAGGACCCTAATGTGGCTCACAGATTCAATCTAATTAGTTTGTAACTTCTAGAGCAACATGACTAGGGAGTCTGTTCAGGTGGGTTTTGAAACTTACAATTTTGCCCTAGCATTATGGAGTTAAACTAAACTACACAGTGTGAGCCCTTTATTTAAATTCTAGACATAGAGAGAATTTGTCACTATATTTGTGGAACACAGCCTCTGCAGGATTGATCCACAGCCTGAGAAGGATAACTGATTCAAATAAAATGGAATTTTACTCCAACCTTTGAGAAAATCTAGGAAGTATCAGGATCGCCTGATTTTGTAAAAGATAGCCATATTTTGTAAAAGATGGACTAGTCACTAGAGGCAGGTGCTCGCTCATCTGGTGAACTACAACCTATCCCTAAAGAAAAAGTAATCTATCCAGATAAGCATCTTGCAGAGAGAGAAGAGACCATCAGTTTATCACTTAAAATTGACTTCTTGTACCTCTGTGATCATAGCAGTGTTATTCCAAACAACCAAAAGGTGGAAGTGATCCAAGTGTCCATCAGCGGATGAACAGATAAACAAAATGGGGGTATATACATACAATGGAATATTATTTAGTGTTAAAAAGGAAGGAAATTCTGACACATGCTACAACATGGATGAACCATGAAGATATGCTAAGTGAAATAAGGTAATCATAGAAGGACAAATATGAGGGTACTTCAAAAAGCTCATGGAAAAATGGAATTAAAAGATAAAATGGGGCTGGTAGCTCAGTTGGTTATAACACCAAGGTAAAAGGTTTGGCTCCCCATATCAGCCAGCTGTAAAAAAAAACAAAAACAAACAAAAAAAACATAACACAATTCTTTTCTTTACCTTTTTTTTTTTTTAAAGATGACCAGTAAGGGGATCTTAACCCTAGACTTGGTGTTGTCAGCACCACGCTCTCCAAAGTGAGCTAACCGGCCATCCCTATATAGGGATCCGAACCCATGGCCTTGGTGTTATCAGCACCACATTCTCCCAAGTGAGCCACGGGCCGGCCCTTTTCATTAACTTTTTGAAGATACCTTGTACTGTATGTTTCCACTTATGAGGTACTTAGGATAGTTAAATTCATAGAGATAAAAAGTGGAATGGTGGCTTCCAGGGGTTGTGAGGATGGGAGTTATTGTTTAATAGGTATGGAGTTTCAGGTAAGATAAAAAATGTTCTGTAGATGGATGGTGGTGATGGTTGTACAAATGTGAATATACTTAATGTCACTGCACTGTATACTTAAAATGGTTAAAATGATAAATGTTATGTAATGTATGTTTTACCACAAAAATTAGCTTCTTTATACTTTATAATAACATTGATAATAATAGTAATATCATATTTATATAATGTTATCTTTTTCTCATGTAGCTAAAATGGATTATAATAAGGTAATTTAATTAATCCTGACGAGTAAGCCAATAAGTTGGAGGAAGAACCTCTAAGCTATATGGCTAATAAGTAAAGCCAGTGTTTTCCAAATCTTGCTAAACAGTGGAATCACCTAGGGATCTTTAAGGAAATATCGATGCCTGGGGCTCCCCACCGCCAGACATTTTGATTTAATTGGTATGGAATACAACCTAGGCATCAGGATTTTTGAAAGCTGACTAAAAGATATAGAAGGAGTAGCATCTAATTATGATCATTTTCTAAACACCTCAGTTCCATATCAGAACAAGAAGGACAAGCCATATGGTAATAGAATATGCCAAATAATATTTTGGAATATGAATAGACCCAGTTGTAACCCTACATTGAAAGCAGAGCAGGAATTCTTGATAATGACAAAGGTAAAGACTACTTAAGCAGCTATGGATCTCCTAGGGAGAAGGCAGACTTTAGAACAGCAGCAACAAACCCTCTTAATAATTGGGCCTTAAAATAGCATTTGGCACATAGCTTCTACTAATAAGCATCTAAACATCATAATTTGAGTAAAGTGAGCTTCCTTCATTAACAAAACTGCCAATCAAGGAGTTAGAGAGTACAGAAATCAATACAAATACAAAAAGACATAGACTAGCCTGATGCTACTAAAGGTTTATACAGCTTCACCCAGAAGAGGACCTTGCTTATTCAACAGAGATGTATTTGGGAATCACAGCAGCTGAGTTGGCTTGAGAGAGAAAACATCGTAAGGGACGAGAACATGTACTTGAGAGCACCCTCTAGGGTTTTGGGCTTATTACCTTAATGAAATCTCATCCATAATCTAATAGCTACAAAATGGAAACTGTTTTCTTTAGGAACGAATTGAGCTTTGCTCTTAAACATTCAGTTTCCCTTAACTGTAAAACTAAGCATCCCATCAGACCATGAGAGAGTGTAGCTTCCACAATGAGATTAATATTTGGGCACACTGTAGAAATTGAAGGAGCACAACTGAGTCTGATATTCTTTATCTCTTGGTATTTTTCACCCAAAGGTATTTCCTTAAGTCAACATGTCCTCGAAAGGCCTACACAAAGCATGCCAATGACTGTGACTGACAACTTCTTTCAAACAAAACATACATTGTTGAAAACACTACAATTTGGATACCTAATCAACTTGATGTCTCTTATTTTTTAAAAAAAAGTCAAAAGAAACTTGAAGTATGAGAAGTTGCCCCTACTTATACAGACAGGATAACAATTTTTAAAAATACTTTAGTTACCGAAGGACACTGGTAAGTTCTGAGATACAGGATGCTCCTATTCGATGGGATATTGAACAACATAATGACACTTCAACAGTTAATGCTAGAATCACAGTATTTCAGTGCTGACCAACTAGCTCAGTTGGTTAGAGCCTGGTGTTGTAATACCTGTGTATTATTGTACCTAACACAGTGCCAAGACTAAGGCATTCAGTAACTATTTGTTAAAAGAAACCTGAAGGGTGATTTGACTCCCCAAGTGTTCAAACCTTATCTCTTGGTGACTAATTAAAAGACTCTTCAAAGGGACAGAAAGTAGACAGAGATATAGAAAATAGAATGGTGGTTGCCAGGGACTGAGGGACAGAGGGAATGGGGAGTTGTTGTTTAATGGGTACAGAGTTTCAGTTCTGCAAAATGAAAAGAGCTCTGGAGATGGATGGTTGTAGAACAATGTGATTGTATTTAATGCCACTGAATTGTACACTTAAAAATGGTTAAGATGGTACATTTTATGTGTATTTACCACAATTTTTTTAATTGCTATTTTTCCAAGGATTTTTTAAAAAGTACATCAGTTAAAAAAAAAGGGGTGGAGGGGCCTTTGACCAGTCAGCTCATTTGGTTAGAGCATAGTGTTAAAACACCAAGGTGAAGGGTTCAGATCCCTGTACTAGCCAGCCGCATAAAAAAAAAAAAAAGTACATCAATAAGATAAGAGTGCATATAATGGAAGAAAAAAGCAATTCATTCATTCATTTATTCAACAAACATGGAGTGCCACAGGTAATATTCTAGGATCTGGGGATACAGCAGTGAACAAAACAAGCTTTTTGCCCTCAGGGAAGTAACCTTCTAGAAGGGAAGAAAAATAATATCAAGTAGTGAGAAACACTACAGAAGAAAAACAAAGAAGAATAAAGAAGAGAGACTGAAGGAGGGCAGCACATGGGGAATGGTGCTATTTATGATGAGCTGGCATTTGAGCAGAGAACTGAATAAAACAAAGGAACACACCATGTCAATATCCAGATGAAGAACAGTTCAGGCAGAGAGAACAGCAAATGCGAAGGCAGGAATATGCTTGCTCTACTCAAAGACTAGTGAAGAGGCTGCTGTGGCTGGAATAGATGGGGGACATTGGGTAGTAGGAGATGAAGTAAGCCAATTGCCAGGAGCCAACTCATTCAACATCTTGTAGAACACAGTGAGGATTTTTAGATTTTACTCTAAATGTGATGAAAAGCTATTAAAGAAATTTAAACAGGAAAATAATTAACGTTTTAAGAGGATCACTCTGATTCTGTGTGTAGAAAAGTCTGTACGGGCCAACAGTGGAAGCAGAAAAACTAGTTAAAGAAGCTATTGTGGGCCGGCCCGGTGGCGCACTGGATAGTGCGCCGCTTGGGAAGCGCGGCAGCGCTCCCGCCCGAGGGTTCGGATCCCACATACAGACCGGTTCCCGCTCACTGGCTGAGCGAGGCGCGGGAGCA